GGAGTGCACGCGGAGCATATCACAAAGTAGGGTATACCAAAGCTCAGGTTTACTGGCAACCCTCCTCTGGATGCATTTCGCGTAACTACCAGCCCCAATATGACCATCATTCCGGCGTGCGGGCTTATACCGTCTCGTGTGGCGTACGGACAGGGTGGTGATAGAGTCGCGAACGGTGAGACCCTATGCCTGTCATGTCTGTCTCTGTGAATGTGTCTGATATTTTTTTTCAAGGTTATGGACCCCAGCGATCTCGCCGGTCGTCCCTACACTTATGCCCTCAAAGCCCACAGTCCCTTCCCCCTCAGGTACTCTCTACCGACTTGTACATCACCCAGATTCAGACGTAAGTAATGGTTTTTATACAGCACCCGATATTGCTGATCTTGCACAGAGCATGCTTCTGCCAAGGAGAGTCAACCCCGTGAGGAATGTTAGAAACCTTACGAGTCTCGTTCACGGTCATGGGTTATCTTGTTCACTCCCCCGTTTTCCATACGTCGATCTCAATTCAGATCTGAGACCTCTCTTTGCAATTTCAGGCTTGCCCGACACATTGCACCGTTCGTGTTTGCATGGTCGTCTGGCATGATGTGGAGAAGGACAAGGCTTGGAAGCAGATCCGTGCCTTGCCCGGCGAAGCCTGATGTATTTGGAGGATATATTGGTTCGCTGCTCACCAAGTGCTCATTCAACCCGACACCTGACACATCCGGAGTATTTTTGTGTAGATGGACCCGATTATGCCGTCGTGTGTTAGGAGCCTTGAACACTACATACTTCACAGATAATGCAGGCTTCAATGGCTTAATGAGTGAAGATGCTGAGTGAAGATGCTCATCGGGGAGCCATTCATCGAGCGGGTTCGATTCCTGCTGGAGCCACTTCGACCTCCCAGTCAATATTTTGTTGGACATATTCATCGCCACGTACAGATCGTCCGCATTTTAGGGTGTTCCATGCTGTACCCCTTAATAGTACTGTACACAATGTATATATCCTGATCAGAAATACCGCGAGCCTGGTGTGCGCGGACGCCACAGGCTGCGGGAGGCGTACATACCCGTTATACACGTGGACCCAAGCTCAGATATGGAAAGTGGCGAGCGTGGCGCCATCACCTATCATGCATATGGCAAAGGTGGTGAGCATGGTGCCCGTTACTTGAGTACTAAGTGTGTACCAGTGGACTGT